GATATCCAGCATGTAAACAGATGAGACATTTGCCTAGATTTTATAATGTTATGACACTAAGGAATTATGGTTACACATATACATCCCAGGAATTCAGAGTAAAAGACATAGAAGGGTATCAGAGTGTATGTGAATTTGGTTTTCTTTGCAAACCACAGACATGTCCTGTATATATAAGTATGTAAACAATAGTACAAAGGGAATTCTATTAAGTTCTAACTCAGATAACAGGGAACATACTGTACATACACCAGTGAGGCAAAACATTATGACCTTTCCCACGTGACGCAAATAATGTTGACTATCTTGCAAGAATGGTGTGCATTAAGGTCTGGGATATATTAGACAGTTAGCCAACATTCAGTTACTCGTAGTCGACGCTGTATGTGGAAGAAAATGGGCTGCGGGAAAGATTGGATTGACAAATCATTATGGGCAGACAACTAGGTCAGAGCATCTCCGAACTGGCAAAGCTTTCAGGAGTTCATGGACAGCCAGGATGAGTACCTAGTGAGCGTGGTCCGAGGAGAGACAAACGCCTGACAGAGTGATGGACGGCCAAGACTCATCAATGCAGGATGTGAATGAGGCTATCAGAAGGGCTACTGTGCTACAAATGGCAGATAATTTGGGTGATGGTCATGGGAGTAAATTGTGAGCTACTTACACAGACCAGTCAGAGTGTCCAGGCTAACAAATACGTGGAATGGTTGAGGTGCCCCTGAGGTGAGGTTTGGGAACTGAAGCCGTGTTCTTCTAGACATCCAACAAGATATCAGTGACTTTTTGCAGAACAGAAGAGATTCTTTTTAGTTTCAATCGCATTACTATTAATTTGCTTATCTTCTAATGGAAATTCGTACTTCTTTTCCTTACTAAATATACACCTACGATGCAAATGAACAGCATGTTCTTCGACTGCCTAAGACTTTTGCACAATAAAGCATAAATATCCTCATGTAGCTGCAGATCAGACTGGTCACTCCCTCGGATCCCACAGATGCTGGATACACCCCAGCTGTTCATATGATGCCACAGAAAAGGGGATTTATCGGCCCAGTTACCTTCTCCCATTGTGGCAAGCTCCAGTTCCGATGCTTTTGTGCCCATTGTAGGTGCTTTTCACTGGGGACAGGGGTTAAACCTCACCGCAATCTCAATTTGTTAACATAATTAGTTAAATAACCATTGATTAGCCAAACAAAGTGGGGTAGTAATGGTGCAGAAGTCCCCCCCCCCCCCCAAATATTTAATTTGGCTTCATTCATCCCCTTAATAAACAGACCATTGTATTTAAATCATTAAATTGTGTCCCCCCAGTCTCCAACTCTCACTTAAACCATTGTCTTGATGTATTGGGTAGTTCCAGCAAATTCGTTGGGTGATTTTAGGAGAGGTTTTGAAATGGCCAAGCTGACACACCTTGGCAGTCATGACATCATAGTTTGACACGTAGTTTGTTTATTTGCACGGTACAGTATATATACACACATATATGCATCCTGTGTTCTGGCTACAAATAGGTTGGGAAATTAAGTATAATTGGTGGAATCCTATAAATCATCATTCTGTGCCGTAAAATGTCAGGAGGAATCAGAGCCGTCCACGTCTGTGCTCTTTCCGCAAATGTTAATCTGATATGTCACCATTTAACTGGCATTATTTTTTTCTCATCAGAACGAAATAAAATTTTAAATATATGACGGGTATGCACCTGTCACATTTATCCATTTATCCGTCCATCCCTCCCTGTACCTAGCAGAAGTTCACAGTGTGCCTTACTCTAACCTGATAGACTTTTCCTTGCATTTTACAAAGGGAATATACTATAGATGATTCTGCCTATTGTATCTGAAATTCTGAGTTCATTTACAAACTGGTGAAACTATTTGTCCCATGACTCTGTTATCTGTAGCAATATTTTAGCAATATTTTAAAAACAACGGCCTGGGTCATGATGACAGACAGATAACAGGAATTCATTGCTGTAAATCTGCCAGAAAAGAGTTTATACAAAGCTGCTCTCGCAGTCCATTACACTAACATTCATGAGGTCACGTCTGCATCTCACAAATACTTCACCAGTGACCTGTTAATTTATATATAGTTTCATGATTGCATCATACATATACAGTATAATACGTCATGGGAAAAGTACACAAATATATACATCTTTTAATTACAGAAAATTACAATTGGCTCCTTAAATAGTATGCTTGATTACGTTTCTTCAAAATACTCACGTTTTACAAAGTTCATTTTGGAACAGTTTCCATGCAGTGAATCATTCTCATTCACGTTATCAGTGAGTTTGAGATGGAAACATATGTTTTCTACCTTCATACCTGAGACATTTTAAATGTCTCAAAACATTGTCAATCATGCTCACGATCATGTTTTTAAATGCCTGTTTCCCAAACAGCATTCAGGTAAGCATTCCTAAGGAAAACATTCTCTCCCTGCTTATAGCTTTGACTATTAAATGTTTTTATTTTAATTTATTGTTTTTCAGTTATACATCAATAGATAGAGTGCGGAAACATGGTGGACTTCTACTTCTGAAGTTTTCAGCCAAATTTGCAAAATCTCTAGGTTAAATAATGAAAACTTACAGTTTCCCAAATAATTTCCCATTATTAATGATAATAACGAAAGGATACATCTATTTAATTGGTCAGTGTTATATCCATTTTTTTTTCCCCTGATGTATGTAATTCTACGTTTATAATAAAAAACATACGCGTTGTTCTTGTGTTATTGTCAGTCATGATATATCCTGAAAGAACTGTAAATGTAGGCATCTGGCATAGCATAAAGGTGTTTAACATAATTTTACATGAATGATATTGTAAAGCAGACAACACAGATTGTTTTGTACAGAATACATTTTTAATAAGCATATTTAAATATCATTAAACAGTCATAAAACGTTGCAATTGAATCCACGTAACCTTTTGTGCTTCACACAGCAAATCATTCTGAGGCAAGCTAATCTTAACAGCGGAAAGCTGCAGGAATAAATGGACACATTAGCCGTATTGCAGTATTGTAGTACTGTAAACCCATGTAAAACAGCTTCTCACACAAACAACACGTTGACAAAGTCCACACGGCTTCTACTTTCACATTACACATTCACTGGTAGTAAAACATCTCTTTCTTAAAGTCTGGAAATGCCTAATTCCCTCTTTATCCTAAATCATTATATATTTTCTATTACAACTTTAAAACATCCTAAGAGCCCAGCACAAGTTTCAATCGCGGTTAAACCGTAGTCCCTTCCAGTTACGATTCACATTTGATGGCTGGCCAACTGAACATATTAACAGAGTTACATCAAAAGGGCATGTCATAAATGTGTTATTATAAAACAACTTCTGAAGGTGAGCATTGTCGATCTCTGTCTTTGATCTCTATCTTTATCTCTGTCTTAGGTCTGCCATATGAAAGTCACCTTCAGTGAGTCAGGACTTGCTATTTTCGATGCTACTTTGTAGATGGAGCTAAGATATCAGGAACGATTAATAACTTAATCTTGTGTATGGCTTTACATAGGTTTAAGGTACTAATACGTCAAAACCAGATGCTCAGGCTGACTCATTGCTGTAACTTTAGGTGCGCAGACATAATGTTTCCTTAATGAAAAGAGAAAGCAGCACACAGCTGAAAGTGCTTAAAACAATACAAGACGTGCTCTTGTTTCAGACTAAAAGCAGTACTTCAGTTTTATAATACTTAGCATTGCATTTAATTTTGAAACAAGGAAATTCCTTGAACAGGGCAGGATTTGTCATACAATGTAGCTGAGGTGTCCAAGTTCAAAATAAAAAAAAAATTAAAAACGGCACATAGGCCAAATACAGAAGCAAAGATGTGTGTCACATATTAACCTAATATTACCATTAACGCTGTCTTCGTGAGGTTTAGCTCATTGTCACAAAAATGAAAACGCATATATACAACCTCATTAGCAATGTGTAGGATCCTCAATGTATTATGACAAAGAGAGAATTATATGTCAGCGTTGTTGTAAGATGATATCCTGCTTATGGCAGTAACAGCTTTAAAACTGTTATAATTAACAACAAAACATTATACAAACATAGCTATTAAAAGATTGATGATGGATGGATGGATGGATGGATGGATAAAAAACATCAAGGCAAATTAAATAAAACTAAACGATTCAATGATTCTGCGTAGAAGTCAGTTAGATCTTGGTTATGAAAAGCTTGGAGGATCAGAGGGATTTAATGTTAAAACAAGTCATTAGTGATTATTTATATTGTCAATTGATAGTTGCCAAGCTACGGCCAAATATGTTATTAATTTTCAAAGACTATGAAGAAGCCTTAGGCAGGTCATGTTAACAGCGTCAATCGAAAAAATAATGAAAAACTGTATCATGGTACAATTTTATGGGAAGGGACGTGATGTATGACTGACACTTTGACAATTCTGACTGACACGGTAGACAATGAATAAAAGTTCATCTGAGTTGCAGAAAAAGTTATTATGAAAGACACAAATAACAAAAATAACTCTGAGTTACTATGATATTGTTAATACTAATATTTTTAAATAGATACTCTCAACAAAATAAAACATTATATAAATGTATAATTACTCTTAATTACTCTGGCGACGGTAACTTTCATAGCTATCTATAAAATAATCTGTTAAGGCCACTAAGATGAACAACTGCACTGTACACAGAGTAATTTCGGAAAACTGTTATAAAAGATTCTGAAACATGGCTGTAAACATTAACAGTTCAGAAGTTAAAACTGAATTCATAGTACTTAGAACTATATTTAGCTGTGAGGCAGGTAATGTTAGAGATATATAAAAATATGATTTGCCACGGGAATAAAACAAACATCAATAGTACTGATGTATGGGACGCATGACACATATAAAACATTTTTAAATGTATATAGTTTTAAAACCCATGTCAACACCCAAAATATTTTTCTTAAAAGAACTGCTGACTACATTCATTTAAAAGAAATATGTTTACTTGAATTTCCTTCGACAGTTTGCATCAATCTGGTTCTTTTGGCTCAGGTTTACTTCATGCCACAATAAAATACTCGCCGGTATCATTATCCAATATAACAGTCGTGAAATACAAAATCAAGGCTGACATTGACTCAAGTCAGAAACATTGTGATCAAAGTCACAGCACAGGCACACAACTAATTACAGAGAATATGTTATTATTATTATTTTTTTTTTTGAACATCCTTTTTTTTTTTGGCACTTACAGAGTCGTCCTCCCAGGATTCAAAGCACAGACTGTAAGTTGTCTAACTTAGCCAGCCAAGGTTCCTCATCCACAGACAACTCAGACCACAAGCCAGTGATGAAGCTGCCAACATCGTAATTGCAAGAAAACATTAATACACAACTTTTATTATTATGGTATAGGAATAGTTAGGAACAGTATAATATAGGAACATTAGAAAGGGGTTAATCTGACTTAAATTCATACTGGTTCATATTTGTTTCAACCAACAGTTGAGTATAACGTGACACAGCCACAGAGTAGAGTTGAAACAAAATCTTTGTCTGCATTTTTACTTTCTGGACCTGAACTATCCACCTCTGCTAAAATGCACTCGTTTCCAATATGACATGCCTTGTGTTTGTGAGATGTGCTGCTGAGCTGAATTCTAACTTTTGGCAACCTGAAGTTACTAAAGAAAGCAAAGTATATTGTTTACCGTGAACTGCCTGACTTCACCGGCTTCTACCCGGTGATGTTCCGTCTCAGGAGTGATGGCATAGGCTGCTTTCTGCAGTGAGGGAAAGGGTCAGCGCTCATTTGTTAGAGTCTCTCACCTGGGAATTATACCCAAATTCACAGAAAGGTCGAGAAATCATGAAGAATGGAAATACAGTACAGACGCTCCTCTACTTACGAACGAGATACGTTCCGAACGTTCCGAAGTTGTTATTCAACATCATTTTAAGGGTATACGCAAGTACAAAGAACTAGGATGCCGGGAGTATGTACGCTACGCTGCTGCGCGGCGGGAGTAGTGGCTAGAGGTCGTACTAGGCGGAATTGGCGCGCAGAAAAAAAAAATTGATGTTGCGGACAGGAAACGGGAGCCCATTCGTATGTCTGAACGTTCGTAAGTTGAAAGTTCATAAGTAGAAGAGCATCTGTACACATAAAGCAAAAACTGAAGCCAATATTTAGCAATATTCATCATTCCCGTCAAGAAGGAAGGTACTTTACTGAAAGAAACTATTTTGTAGATTGATCATCTAGTCAAAGTCAGAATAATTTTAAATTTAAAGAATGAATGGAGACTTTTTTTAACATTGACTACATAAAAACTACACTCAAAAACAAGAATCGCAATAAATAATATGCAACTACTCACATCACAAAATCTTCCAGGCAGAGTACAGAACTTGTAAATGGCGTAGAGGGGCACCATGGCCATGGAGGACAAGGCAATGCACCATCCCAGCATGTTCGCCCACATCGGGAACACGTACGACCCGTAATTCGGCGGGTTGAAAGTCGCAAAGCTGACAACCACCATGAACTAAGAAATAAACCGAATATCGATGTGTCAAAACATCCAGAAAAAGGCTTCAATGAACAACATGCTCAAAATATAAACCCAGGTAAAGAAATCAAAGAACAGTAAATAATCGAAAATTTGAACGTAGTATATAGTATATACCAAAATATATCCTAACGTTGTAAACTATGTTAAGTCAGAAGCATTTCTAAGTAAGTAATTGTGTTTTTTTTTAGTAATAGTGGGTATAAAATTGGATGGATGGATGGACTGATGGATGGATAAAGTACTTTAGGGAATGGGGAGGGGAATGATAATTGATAAAAGCTTACCAAAAGAAAGCAAGGGCTCACAAACTTCCAACACATCCTCCAGTAGAGTCCTGGTCTATGACCAATCATTTCCCGAATGTCATCACTGAAGCGATCCACCCCTACAACAAAAACTCTTCATATTTTATCAGGATAAGTTCACTTATAAGCAGAGAGCATTATTGTTATTTTCAGTGACCGCTATTGGCAAGCACAGGGCGGTAGTGGGAGGATAATTTCGTACATTTAACTTATTTAGTCGGCGGGTTTTATCCAAAGTGACGCACATTTGAGAAAGCAGGGTCAAAGCAATTCCTAGTTTTCAGTCACGTGACTGGCCCACAGATCTGGAGGTCAAGGAAAGCCTTCCAAAATGGGTGCTAACGCTGGACGCTTTGTAGTACTTCATATTTATGCATTGGAAATTTTGGCTAACCAGTGTCGGGGTGTGCACTCAAAAAAACAAACAAACAAACAAAAAAAACATTACAGAATTATCTTTCTTTTGATAAGAAACAAAAAAAGATCAGATGGATATATTTTGTCTTTTAATTTTTACAAAAAAAACAATGTCAGTCTGACCCTTGACCCTGTATGTTTCTTATTAGAAGAAAGATAATCCACAGCATAGTTTTTTTTTTGAGTGCGCACTGCAACACTGGTAGTTAAGCGATTATGGTTGGTTGCTGCACCTATTAAAATATTGATAGGAAATGCGTCTCCTGAGAGCAGGTTTACCCTTTTAGTGCTGGGTAGTGGAATAAAGCTTGTTTTGCCCTCCACATGGGTGGTCCTAAAAGGATGTGACATCATGTGAAAACTATAGATTGGGGATTAAGGACCGAGCTCAAGGGACCAGTGGTAAAATCATTCTGCTGATGCTGGGATTTGAACCAGTGACCTTCTTTTGACATATAGCATCCTAACCCACGAGCCACACAACAGCTCAGAGAGTATTGTGATAAGAGCTGTTAACCTGATCCACTAATTTGATGAAATCACAGAAAAACATTCATGCAACAATCACCTCAATGACAACAGAGAGAAAAAAATTAATGACCTTTAAACATTTTTTCTTCTTACAAAATAAACTTGCTAGGCAGTTTCAAAGTCAAGGGTGTGTTCAAATCTATAAACTGTTATGTTTTCAAACATGCCAAATAAATGGTTGGTTTGTGTTTACAGAACAAACATACACTGAAAAGATCAGTGACTCATGGTTACATCTATAGAGTTTGAAAGACTCACTAGAAGAATCACTACCCTACATCGGAGTATTTTAGACATCAACATGTTTACATTACAGCTATGAGTACAAAGCTGGGAACAGTTAGGAAAATCACATGGAGGACTTTCACCACCTTGGTATGGAGAACAGTCTCCGTCTTGCCCAGTATCTCCATGCACGCACTTATCAAAGGGAAATTAGAAATTCTCATGACGTCTTGGGAGTGTACCATGAGAAGACAGGCCTGCGGGTCCAAATCTGCAGTACCAGAGCTTTGTAAAAGGACAACGAAGCCCCAGGGTGCTGCTGTCTGCCCAGTCGCACTGGACAGTGATACGGCGACCCAGAAGCCAAGCGTTAGCATGTTAGCATGCTCAGGCTACCAGTGTCTTTATCTGCAACACTTAAATTATATTCCATGCTAAAGTTCAGATAAGCTGTCTTGATCAGTCATTTCAGATCTTAGCAACAGGTTTCTTATAATGCAGAATCTATGGTTTTGTGTCATTTTTTCATAAAACGGACTGGCATCCCACCAAGGGTGCCCCCTGCAGTTCTTGAGATATGTCCCAGTCTCACTGTGACCAAGATTCAAAAGGAATGGATGTTCTTAAAAATACAAAAACTGTTTAGCTCAATAATTATGTAGGATAATGACTGTAGGATGCCAAATCAATTTTCAACCTTCTTTGGCCTAAACATGAAGATTTGTAACACTGACGCCTATAAGCTGGATGCAGAATGCTTATAAGCCACAAAAACAACTTAACAAGAACCGACATCCAGCATGGTACTTCAGACGCTGCTCTGTGTCACCGCAACTTCAGAAGAATTCTGCTGCCACTTGAGATCAGCCGATATTCCATCAGGTGCCTAATACGGCATCGGCATTGTCAGCCATGAGCGGACGCGAGTCGTCACCCTTACCGTAGAACCAGGCAATGCCGATGGCTTCAATAAGCACTCCAAAGAGGATCGATGTTCCCGCGGCAAAGTGATCCAGCAGAGTAAACACGTAAATCCCACCCTGCGGGTAAAACAGATGTTAGAGGTAGCTGCAGCTTCTGGTTACCGTCACAGCCTGTTTGGGTGGCCGTCAACCCTCCAAAACAGCATTTAGCATTTTGTTGTGGGTGCTAAACTCACCTTGCTATTCAGTTTTCCCCAGAGGTGAATAGCTCAGGTTGAGAAAATAAAAATCCAGATTTTGTCTCAAACTAAGTTCAGTATAAGGAATCATAGTTACAGAGTATTCAACTGGTTGGTTGAAACAAAATCTTGGTTTGGATTTTTACTTTCTGGACCTGAACTATCTACCTCTGGTTCCCCCCTCCAACAAAAGGCAGTGCCTGGTCATCCACTGCACACTGAGAATGACAGCTACTGAGTCGCAGAGCTAACATTAGCATGAACTTGTTTTGCACAAAATGTTCGGCTCTGTCTATATGCTGAAGTGGAACTAAAAAGTGAACATATTCAAATCACTTATTGCAGTCAAACTGATATTGTTTTTGACACAAAAGCTATGCTAGTCTTTATCAGGATGCAATTTCCCTCACTTTCTATAACATTACCAACAATCTCCACACATTCACGTCATAAGAATTCCTGTTCAAATCCATCCATATAAGGTTCTGTTCTGAACTGAAATTTCACAGAACTATCTGCGGCACACTAAACAAGCTCTTAACAGCTGCTAAAGAAAGACAAATGTTACTACGCAATGGCCACAGTCCAGTTCCTGATCCTAGAATGTAGCGCTAAGAAATATCAAGGATCTGGCAAGTGGTCAACAGTCCATTTCGGCTTCTTACGTGTGCCAAACTTGCCACTGAGTAAACCGTTCTGTACGTCAACAAGAAACACAGCAGTGAACTGTTTCTGGACAGCCATTAAAAAAAACGCAATGGCTGAACCGTCAACCCTCAATGGGTATTCAAGAAAGTGAAAATACCAGTTTCCCTGCCGATGAATGAAACTGGGTCCTTTACATTAAGGGACACAGCTGATGTCCCCCCATATCATTGCCAGCAGGTATCAGAGGTCTTTTTGCTACACTCACGTTGGTGACACAGAAGAGGGAGATGAGGAAGGTGGACATGACGATGAGGAGAGTGAAGAGCTCCCGGTGCCGATGCAGAAACCTGAACTCGTCTATGAGGCCAGTGATCACAGACTCCATGCCGCCCATCTGAAAGCAGACCCGCAACAATGCACCATAGGCACAGCCACAGAGCAAACAGCTCTACTGTACATCTACTGTCAACAGAAAGAATAACATCCCGCATAAAATGAAGCACCGCTAGACTGCCTTTATAAGGAAAACATATTTACCATTATTCTTGTTCTTTGTTTCTTAGCATTTGTGAGCATTCATGTTACTTTCCTCCCTTTATTACACTGTCAGAAAAAGTACTAATTTGTACCTTTGAGGGCACAGTTACTTATCACTGGGGCTTTACCCTCAAGGGTCTGCCAATTGTGCTCTAGCTGTAGGTATATGTACCTCTTAAGGTACAGAAATGGACTCTGAGGAATATTTTGTACTATTGGGGATACATTAATGTTGTTTGTACCTTGTGGTATAAAACTGTACCCGGGCTGTATACACGTCTATCTGTCAGTGTGGGTACTTACAGCACTGTCGATACCAAGAGTCAGCAGCATAATGAAGAAGATGACAGCCCACACTGAAGACCCAGGTAGTGTAGCAATAGCCTCAGGATATATGATGAAGACAAGACCAGGACCTGTAATACAATATAATACCAAGGGGAATGTACAGAATGTAGTAGATTACCTGGAGACGTTCCCCAATGATGAAGTATGTGAAAGTATGAAGTATGTTATTCACTGCCCAAGTGTATTTCTGAAATTAATTACTCCCAACAACATTTCTATGTTCTGAGATTGACAACAAACAACAGACCATCCCTTTAATTCTTAATGTTTTCTAAACAGATTTCCCTGAACCCTTGAAAAGGTACAGGGAAGTGAGGTGACAATGAAAGACTCCAGGTCATGATTCTTATGCCTTTTACAAAATGTATGTCTTACAAAGTACAAAAATGTAAATTTTACTACAAAACTAAGAATTATTCTATATGGATTTCCAGTGCTACACACATTGGGAGCAGCGTCTGAAATTATGATTTCAGTGGAATTTCCCCTTTAATAAACGGTTGTAATCCTGGCATATAAATTTGAGAAGAATGACAATTATCCTAATAAACTCAATAGGTTGTGACTGGAGATTGTTTTTACTGAAAACAAATTCATGTAGGTGAAACATTTGAATGTCACCCAATCTTTATTGATTCTAAATAGCTTGCGGGTTGATTTTTATTGACTTTTACATGAGCTAGAGCAATTCTCTTCCAAAAGCAAACGCGTTTTAAATTGGACTCAAAGTACATTTTGTTCACATACTGGACAGCTCCACTGTTAGGGGCTGTCTGTTGTTTCTGGAGGCCCCACTCAAAAGATCAGTATGCCCCCCCCCCCCCCCTTTCAGCATCTCCTAAATAAAGAATGTGTTTGTTTAATATTTAGTGCGGTGAATGTTTGTAGCCAACAAGGGGCTTTGTGGCTAGGGGTAAGTCATCTAAATGTGGTGTAAAAGTTTAGGGGAAGCATAACAAAGAGTCTCGTTGATACTGACCATCTGTCGCTACTTCCTCCAGAGCCACATTGTGTTTCTGGGACATGTACCCCAAGTAGGAGAAAATGACAAAGCCCGAGAAGAAGCTGGTCAAGGAGTTAATGGAGCTGGTGATGATAGCATCTCTGGGAAACAAAACACAGCCATGTCTATAACTCATTTGCACACCTGGAAAAGATGCAGAAGACGGATAATAACAGATAATTGCCTGATGCACTTATGCACGGCTACTTCATGGCAATTAATGTATCTGCATTTGAGTTTCAATTCTAAGCAGCAATGTAACACCCTGAAACTACTGCCCATGTATCCGCATTTTTCTGAAACGTGCTAAAAATTCAAATTCTAACTGACGGGAGGAACATGTTTATCAGGATGGTCACTTAAAGGTAGCGACATAAAGTGCAACACAATCACTCTTACAGAACAGGCAAATGGTCGGTGTTCCAGCTCAGTGTGAAAGGTGGGGCTTGCAAAGGACTTCAAAGGCATTGTAATTCAATTGCGTGTGTGATGACTGCCCTATTAGGATGTCGACGCGGGGCTCTGCCTTACCTATAGCAGTTGTTGCTGAATTTGTTATAGCTTGAAAACGCTATTAGCACACCAAACCCAACTCCCAAAGAGAAGCATATCTGAGTGGCAGCTTCTATCCAGACCTACAAAACAAACGCCCGGGGATCGAAACAAAGGATGGAGCGAAAAAAACTGTTATTAGAGATAATTGCAGGAAACTCATTCAACACAAAGATGAAAGACACTTCTGAATACAGGGTAATTTTGCAAATTGCTGCTGCATGCATGTCTCTAATCTAATTCTCAGATTGCTGCTGTGAGTCCTTAGCCATGTGTCCTTCAGGAGAAATTGCGGATTCTTTCGTCTTACTTAAGGAAAATGTGATTTCTACAACTTCATCAGCTGTGGTAAAGGATTTAATGTAACTAACACAAGCTCTTTTTAGAAAAAAAATATTTTACGCAACAAAATTGTTGTGATGAGTGTGGCTCGTGAACCCACTTGTCTTTCACTGAGGTTTTTGAAGGCACTCATACATGATATAGTGATATATACAGTTTACAGTAATATGAAAATCTGAAGTAATATGAAATGTAACAATTTTTCATCACATAATCTGATGTTATTACACAATGCGTTGTTGCACACAGTGTAACAATGCATTATGTAATAACACCACATTATGTATTAACGCAACACAATGTAACGTTTATATTGCAACATTACCCTATTATCATCATCATCATTATTATTATCATCACCATTCAATTTGTTACATTCTGTCAAGTTATTACATAATGAGATGTTATTACATAATGCATTGTTACACCAAAAACTTGCTTATGATTTGTGCAAAACAGTAATGGAAATGCAGCTTGTGTTAAGCCCATGCAACCAGTATGCACACACGCATCTGCCCACGTGCGTACGTGCATATGCGCGCGCACACACTCACACACTTGTATTTTGTTGGGACCATCCATTCATTTCTATGGGTAAAACCCTAATCCCGACAATGACACCCTTAACCCCTATCCAGCCCTAACCTTAACCATAACAGCGGCTCAGCAGCTACAGTGGGATCTTAATTTAATTAGTGACTGGGCCGATACCTGGCAGATGAAATTTAA